ACTTTTTATATGGCTGAAATACTAAATAATAGATTGTTTTCCCTTGTGAGTCATTTTTGACTGAATTCCAAAGGCACGGTCTCTCTGAAGTCCAGTTATCAATTATGTAAATGATAGTCATTGAAAATCCCCAGAGGTTAGTTCTGCATGTTTGGGTTACTATCTTGTTTATAGCAGATAAAAGTAAGCATAGAGATTTTCTACATTTGGAGCTTAATGTGGATTAAATTTTAGTGCCTTAAAGCTATGTTATTGTGCCACATGCTTTTACTTTGATCACGTATTTCAGTCTCCCTAAAGTTACTATAATTGAGTTTGTTTGAGAATGTACCTTGGTATTATTAGGCTTGCAAGTAGGCAGACTTTAAGGGTCCTAATAGAGCTAGAGAGCAGAGTTACAATTGGGCAGGAGGAATAAGAAAAAAGTGAAACAGAGAAAAGTGATGGAATCTTACTGCAGCAGTTCTAGAAAATGTCATTTCTTTTTTCCCCTAGCACAGCAGAGTTGCATGCTGATAACAAGCTACTGAATTAATAGATCCATTGCAACTATTGAGACTTTCTCTTAATAATCAAACTAATAATGAACATGAAGATGAGAAGAGCAAAGACGTTGATTGTACAGATATTTCCTCCGCTACCTAGTCCAGACCCTGGGCAATTTCAATGTGAAATCAATTTTGCTATCACAATTTTCCATGTGAAAGCATACGAGTACCTAGACCACGTTTCCAATTGGAAAGACATTTAGGGGTCTATTTTGTTATCATTACATGTGCTTAACTCCTATTACAGTTAATGGGAGTTGTATGACTATAGTCACAGTAGTCTGTGAAGTCCTTTAATATTATTGCTTTCCATTACCATCCTCATTAAAATAACTTCCATCTCTTCCGCCAACCTAAGACACCACCATAATGCAAGTATTCATTTTTCCTTGGGTGGATTTCTTTGCACATAATGAAGGATATCGATTGCCTGGCATGACCTGTTTCTAGTTTAAAAGTGTAACTGTGTCATTGAGATGAGAATTGCACTGGAATTGTTTAATTTATCATTAGAGCTTCCTTCCCTATTCAGGGCACATTTCCCCAATTCTGCTGAAATTGACTTGTTCATATCTCATCCCCTTATTGTCTTGGGGGTGACTTTTCCTCCTGCCGTTATATGTGGGGACACTTCAAAATAGGAGTTGCTCTGGCATCCCATTTCCTTAACTGTATGCAGAAATGGTTGTACTCTCGATCTCACTATCACTATGTTTTATCCCTAGAAAGGACATCTCTATCTGACCAGAACCTCCTAAATCCTTCCATAGGTCCCTATGCCTCACTCCCCCTAATCTGACTCTTTGACCTTTTTGTGACCACCAGCCATTCACTTTCTCTGATCTTACTTCTGTTCTCTTGAACATTCCTGGAGGAAAGTGCACAAGCATGATAATTGGGTCCACCACTCATTTAATGAGGATGGTAATGGAAAGCAATAATATTAAAGGACTTCACAGACTACTGTGACTATAGCCATACAACTCCCATTAACTGTAATAGGAGTTAAGCACATGTAATGATAACAAAATAGACCCCTAAATGTCTTAACTGGGCCCTCACTACTGCATGACAATCCTTTTATCATTCCCTAATTGACCTCCTATTGGGCTGTCCAAACCTTCTCTTCTCCTCATCCCACTCAACAAAGGACTCTTACTTTACTGAGAAAATGGAGACAATCCATCAGAAGTTCCAAGAGTCTCCTCCTTTGCTTCAATTTATGACAAGTCCATCTCCTCTGGCAGCTCATCTCAGTTCCCCTCAGCCCCTCAAATTATCCCCTTCACAGCTAAAAGCTGGCTGTGTTACACTGCTTTCCCCCACTTCCTCACCTCCCAATCCCTTGCAATCTGGCTTTTGATCTCATCCCTCAAGTTTACTCACGATCTCTTCATTGCACACTTTGGTGAACTTGGCTCAACTCTTATCCTTCTTGAGCTCCCTATCACACTGCACACTGTGACCTTCCCAGGATACTGTTCCTTCTCAGTCTGCTTTGGTGGGTGATAACCATACATGCATTGAAGTCCTACCCACTAACCAAAGATGTCCCTCAATGCTCTCTCTTGGGATCTTTTATCTTCATGCTTTCGGTAGAGAACTCATCACCTCCCTTAGGTTCAATTAGATATGACTCAGTCTGCCTACATCTCTACCCCGAGTTCCAGTCACATACCACAAATATATATTAGACACTTCCACTTGAATATCCTGTTGGCAGCTTAACCATCCAAAACAGAACTTATTATACCACCACCTCCCCCCCCCCCAACTAACAACACTAGTATTTATATAGTGCCTAAAGGTTTTTACAAATATCTGATTTTATCCTCACAACAACCTTGGAAGGTAGTGTTATTATAATACTCATTTTGTAGATCAGGAAACTAAGTGTCTGAGGCTGGTTTCAAACTCAGGTCTGCCTGATTGCAGGCCCTGTGCTGTCTCCACTGTGGCACCCCCTAGCTTCCTCTTCTCTATTAGTTACCACTCTCTCTGTAGTCACTCAGGTTCACAACTTCATAGTTGCCCTCCATCCTTCCCTTTACATCCCCCATTTCTTTCCACTCACATAGCTACAATTCTAGTTAAGGCCTTCACCATGTCTTGCATGGATTGGTGGAAATCTCCCAGTTGGTCTCCTGGCTTCTGATCCATCCTCCACACATGATGTTTGGAAGTATAGTCTATTCCTTGTAGCAACTTCCAGGCTTCTCTTTCATAATCTATCTTGACTACAGTCACAGGGAAGCCAAATGGTCAAAATGAGGCAGCATGCTTTCCAAAAAGGCTTTTCTTTTGCAAGTTGCAGAGTGGAGAAAGACAGCTGCCAAAGGAATCTGACCTTGTTGCTCCCCTGCTCTAGAGCCCTTACTGGCTCAGAACTGTCCCATAATAGAAAATCCTCATCTTGGCATTTAAAGCCCTCCTTCACTTATTCAACATGCAGTTGTTCAACTGGTCTACTTGCTGGTCTCTGAAGTCACATTTCCCTGGCATGTAGCAAGTATCTGAGGCCAGATTTGAACTCAGGTCTTCCTAAAGCCCAGAGCTCTATCTACTGGTCACCCACAACATTCACAGAAATTTTCTCGGTGCTCTACTGCAGAAATACAGGTGATGTGATAATCACAGGAGGTGAAATATACTCACTAGCAGTGTACTTTACCATATTGAGAATGCCAACCTCCCCCCCCCTTGCCATGGTGGATCTTGGGCATGTGGGAAAGGAGACCACTGTCAAATTGTCTCTTCCCCAAATTATACTGTTAACTCAGACAAGAAGATGAAAAATGATTACTCAGCTAATTTTCCCCTTTGTGTATTGCTTCTGTTGCCTGTCCCTACCTAGCATTGTAAAGTACCAGGCTTAGCCTTGGTCCCTTCCCCAAAAGGGTAGAAAGTGAAGGTACTGCATTTCTTGCAGTGATGCTGTGTTTACTTGGCTTCCGAGAGCCCCAAGAACCACCATGCTGGCATCCTTTCGACTCAGGTGGCCACTAGGATATCCATCTGCCACGGCTTTAGGAAATGACTGGACGTGGGAACTCTTCTATTATAATCTCATTTGCTCTATGATGCCAAAAGGAATAGAAAAGAACATCCCAAGCTAATCTTTATGCCAACTAGTAACATCTAAGTAAAAGATAATTTTAACCATGAATGTTATTTCTACACTTATAGCTGTGATACATATCACAAAATAATATATATGTTAGTGACATCTTTAAAAGAATCAACAAAATCTCCGTTACTCAGCTATGTCTCTTTGTAGAGAAAGTCCACTTGCCCACCCAACCACCCTGGGCCTTTCAAAGTAGCCTGGGTCAATAGAAGCCTGTCAATTCAGCAAATTCCGAAACAGCACAAATGACACCAAGATCAGGAGAGCCTATTCCTTAAATCAGGGCCCTAGAAGAAATTGGGAGGTCCCACCGGCCAGCCTTACCAGGGGACAAACATAATGCCCAGTGTCACTGGATCTTCATTATCCAGCTTCTGTTCTAGAGGAAAACAGTCTCCAAAGCCTAGCTCCCAAAGAAGCGTGACCTGATGTTTGAGCATTCACTCTGCATCATAACCCTGATCATGCCATTGATTTTCTGTGTAACCTTCATCACTAAAGCAGAGATAATAGGCTAGAAGGAGATAGCCTTACCTCCTGGGGATGTTGTGTGAATTAGCAAATTAACAAGTGTGAAGTGTTACCATTTCTGGAAGTGCTGCTAGTAGGCATTATTTCTAGGGACTTAGGCTCATTCGAAGTATATTATACTTTTGTCAGAAAAGGATTTTCACTCACATCAATTGCATTTAAGTTGGGTATAAAACAGAGGTGATAATAACGTAGTAGTCATCATCAAAATGCAGTTTCCTGTTAAAGCAAAAACTATTTTCAGCAACTTTTAGTGTTCTAAAACTTTTGCATTCCTGTGATGCTTGGAGGAGAGAGATATTCATTATTTTCAGCCCCATAGTGTGTATATAACCTGGATTTGTTCTGGTCACACAGTAGGGCAAATGCTAGTCAGCAGGTCTGAGTGACACACAGGTCAAGAGCAAAAAGCCCAAACTCTTTCCTGCTCAGCCTTCACTGGTGTGCCCTCTGGGAGAGCCAATAGAGACAATGAAAATAATGTTACATCAAAAGACTTTCTAACAAAAGGTACTAACCATCCCTTAAGCCTTTCACTTGAACATCTCTGCCAATGACTTTGCTGTCACCTCTCCTTTCTTTTATCCCTCTGACTTCTCTTACCCAGAAAATCATTTTATTGCTGATTAGTGAACTGTAAGGATACGGCCTAGCAGCTGCAGTGCCTTTATGAGCTATGTTACTTATTTACATGATCATTTGAAGTGATTTTTCAGAACTGTTTGAAAAACCTCTTGCTCTTCTGCAATAGCCAGGGTCTAACACTTATGGAGTTTGTGTTCTCGGTCTTACAGATAACAGACGAGCACCTTTAGAAAGGTCACGTTCCCGCCACAATGGAGCCGTTGCATCCGCATGAGTCCGGTGGGCCAAAGACCTCGGAGAGTGGCGGTGGAAGCCAAGTGGCATTTTGAGCAGAGTTCAGCATGGACTTGAGTTGACAAAGAAGGAAGTGAATGAAATACAAGTTCTGTGTCTCTGTAAATCTACTGCTAAATCCCAAAGCCCCATGATTGTACTAATAGAAACACAATTACCAGTCAGCAACGAGGGTGTTCAGTGTAAGGACTTGCATTGGTTGTGTATTCTCAGGTGGGCTGCTGAGGAGGGACAGGTGAGGGAAGGAAGACACCTGCCACTGGACAGAGGAGAAGAGAAACCTCTTCAAAACTGCAGCGATGAGGTCCCAGTGAAGAAGCGCTCCATTTCTGGGCACACACGAACTAACCTGTGCCTCTTAATGAAGACTGAGAACACAGCTTAAGAGAAGCCACCTTAGCACTTGCAGAACTCAGTTTCTGTAAGCTTCTGGTCCCCAGGGAAATCAAATGAATTCAGGTGCTTTCACTGAAATTAAACTTTTCATCAATCTAGAGTTTGTTACTGCTTAAAAAATCGTGCCCCATTTGGATGGAATCAGCTCCAGAGGGTGTTTTAAACTTTATTTAAAGGGGTATTTTCTAATTGTGCACATATATATGGATTCTTTATACAGATACTTTATACAGATATTTTTTGAGAAAAAGCACCTCACATTTTACTGTTTCTGCTAAGGATGATTCTAAGAATTCTATTATCCTGATTTCTGTCTTAGAGACCAAAAGGATCTGCCTGCTCTTGGTTGAGGGCTGCCTTCTTCCTTGCTTCCTGGGCATGGGGCATGGAGCAATGTTAGAGGACCTGCCAAGTCCAAGGTAGTGGCAAGTCCTTTCCTCTGCTCCCTGGCCTCCATTTGGTTAGAGAGAAGTGCCAACAGCTACTCATTTCCTCACCTGGTCTACCCCAAACCTGCACGCATGGAACCTGGTTCCAGGATCCTGAGCTGGCTGGAGAGAGCATTGAACTTAATCCAACACTTAAAAATCAGATGTTCCTCAGCCGAACATTTTAGGACTTGGTCACTGAAGGAGGACGACGCCATCCTTATTCTGGCCACAAAACTCTCCAGAGCTTGTTGGCTTTTTGGGCGAGTCCTCTTTTCTGTTCTCAAGCAGTGTCTCCAGAATAGAATAGCTATGTTACTTAGAGTTGTTTGGGTCTCCCAGGGAATGGAGAAATGCTCAGCTGAACCTCACCAATGGAACCACTTCTATCCTGAGCATTTCAGGAAACCGCAGGATTTTCTCTTTTTGGAGGCAGCTGGTGGGTGCTGAATCTTACAGCTCTAAAAGCCTTATTTCTCCTTACTACAGTCTGCCTGTGTAGACACAGCCTGCTACCCTAGGCAAACTCAGGAGCCTGAAAGGTCAGTTGTGGAGTTTCATCAACAGTGTCTTTATCTGCCTCCCCTTGGCTGACATACTCTACCACTTAAATCAGAACCCATCCTCCCTCCTCAGATGTGGTCACTGCTCTAACAATGCCAAAGGAACAGCTCTCCAAGTCAGCTGTTTAAGAATTGTTATTATTCTTAGTTTTCATCCAGTCACAGACTAAAAGAGAAACTCCTGTGGTAAAAAAAAAAATGCCAAGAGAAAGAGAATGGGTTCCTATTTTTCTTCTCAAGAGACTACACTTGCATGTTGGTTTAGGCTCCATTTGGGAAATATGTGGCATGACATTTTTGGATTTTGGTTATAAAACTCATTCTTGTAAATTATGTGGTTATTGTATGAGAGTTCTAAAAGTGGAAAGGCCTAGATGTTGGCTCATAAAGACAACTGATATCTAGTAGTGGAAAAAAAATAAGGTTGGCCTTAGCTCAAAAGGGGAAGCACTTCATCAACCTGAAAACCATTCAACCAAGTGACCCATTTGTAGAAGGGCCTTTCCCTTCCCACCAGCTTTCCTCAGTAGGGCGTGGGACTGGGAAACAGTGAGAGGCAGAGGAGGACCTCCAGCAGCATCTTGAGATGCCTATTTTTACAACTTTGTCCCTCTTTTTACCTTGTGATTTTCATAAGCATATCAGTTTTATGGTTGATAAAAGAACATTCTCTTAATTTCTGTAAACATACAGTGCCTGTGTTGTAGACTTCACCAAGCCTTTCTGAAACTTCATGCTGGGACTGCTTCGGGCCTTAGCTAGCTTTTCTGGCTGCAGCACATGCTATTGTAAGTGGTCACCCTGGCTACTGGGGGGCCAGGTGGGGGGTAGGGGAGATTCTGCCGTGTAATGGAGCTTGTGAAGCTAGGAGGACAGGAGTGACATGTTCATATATCACCTTTTAAAGACATGAACTTGCCTTATTTTCTAGTATTCAAAAAAACTGAATTAAAGAACAATTATTGATAGAGTCTATATTTGTTTTCAGAGCAATCCCAAATGCCTTCTTCAAAAAACAACAAATCTTTTAGGGCCTGTTGTGAAGTTCAAGCAAAATGATTTACAAAGTATTGTTTCTTAACTCCACAGTGATCCCACTCCCACTATTTGCTGCCAAGGCTCAGATGAAAAAAAAAAATCACAAAAGGAAAAAGTACGGTGAAAATATGTAACCACTGAGCATAGAATCTAATGATACTGAAATCTTATGTTTAGTATGTTACTGCTAAAAGCAATGGGCCTGTTTATGCAGATTTTCTACAGACTACTCAGAAGACTGCCCCCAAACCCTCTACTGTTTGCTAGTTACTGCATATAAATATAGTTTAACTTTTTCTAATTCATTCTTGGTACTCTCAAGCCAAATTGAGGTCATCACTAAAAAAACCAAACCAATCATTGTCTGCACAACGTACTTTGCATGCTTTGATGTTGAATGCTGTGCCAAAGTCTGCTGAGTACTTGTACGTCCTGTTATGGTCATACATCGAGTTGAAAACCAATCGAGTTGAATTTGATTTTCCCTACTGTAGTTAATGAATCCCCCTATGCCTCCTTCTGTGGGCCACAGTAGAAGCACCAACTACCTCTGCAATCAAGGGGAAGCCCCCAGGCTGTGCTGAGTTACTGGTGGCAGAGCTGCCCAGTCATAGTATTTCAATATTAGTAGATACCATGTGGGCAGATGCTTTCATTTCAGCTAAGAATAAAAACTGTATCTAGTCAGGGCCATGAATAGCTTGGGGGGAAAGAAACCGTCATGTGATAATACTTACTATTCAATAAAATCGACTATGATACACATTAACTCCTGTTACATTTCTGTGAACATATGCATACGTGTACACCTGTTCACATGCTAGCCCTTGTCATCATCTGGATAAGCTCCATCACTGGAATTCACTCAAAATAAAATAGCTATAAGAGGCATTAAAGCTACAATGAAAGGACTTTGTTTAAAGCTTTGGGGAATGGTTCAAAACCAGAGAAGGGTGTGAGGAAAAGCCAGAAGTAGAACTGGGGGTTGGCTCTAACCACTGATCAAGCTTATGCTGCCTAGGCCTCGCCCTCATGTTGGAGAGAGGGAAGGATGAAGAGGAGAGGAAAAATTTCCTCATTGGTCTGGGAAAATCTCAGCAGGACTGAAAGCCCAAGATAGTGCCCTTTGAGCAAATAGGGGATGACCAAAGTGAAGGGCCTGTGTTTGGAGAGGACTTGATTTGGAATGACTCATCAGAAGGACACTGAAGGAAAATGCAATTGCACAATTCTAAGCCACGTCAGAGTACTCCAGCTATAGGGAGCCACGTTGTCAGTGATATAGAGTAATATAGCACTCCTTAAAAAAAAGACATCAGTGGACTTTTCAAAACATGGGAACATGTCCATGAAGCTGGAGACTAAAGGATGACTTATCTCTAGGAGAGGCCATTCTGTAACCTGAGTTCTCCAGGTCTGCTGAGGACAAGATAAGACATTGGCCTTAGGCCCCTTCTCTTTCCAACCTTAACTCTATTATCAGAGGCTTGAGGAACTCAAGTGGCAGGGGAGGGAGGTATTCAAGAGAAGGTTTCGGAAACTCATTTTCTAGAAGCCTTTAAAATCAGCCCTCGATCACCCCCACTGAAGACAACCTGCTGGGGCTAGCCAGGAGAGACCTAGGAGAAGGTCAGCCCCCAAGAGGCCCCAGCCCCTCCTTGCTCGTAGTAGATGCTTGTTAGATTAAAGGAAGGATAACCAGGGCTCAAGAAAAATGTTTTCCTTCTTACAGTTCCCTCTAGAAATCAAGAAGCTTGACTTTGTCCTTAGAGCCAAGATAGAATGAGTCCTTACTAGGGAAGCTAAAAAAAGCAAATGGGTCCCCATGACACTATTGATGCAAAAGTTAAGTAGAAGACTGGAAATGGAAATATATTCAATTGAAATAAGAGGCTATAAGAAAAAAACAACAGCCAGAAAAGCCATCCCAAACAGCATTTACTTGGGCTGTCTACTCTTTGGTGTTAAGGGGGAAGGTGGGGAAGACTGGCACGCTTCTCTTTGTGGGGCCCCAGGACAGAAACCCAGCCCAGCCTCCACAGGGGATCCTCAAAACCACTTTCTACTCCATTCCTCCAACTTACACCCACCTCTCCTGTTGTGCCAGCACTAGTTTGCCCGTTCACACCTCCTTGCCAGCACTGTACTGTGACATAATTCTACCTATTTCCTATGATGCCACAGTGATATCTTCCCACTTCCTCCTCCTCCTTACTGTGAATTTTTTCACACTTTCCAGTCATTGTTATAGGATCTATTCCTCACCAATTTCCTCTACCTACTAAGAGTCTGGAGCCAGGCGGTTAGCACACTTATGTGATATAATAGATGCAAAGCACTTTGCAAACCTTAGGCACTATATAAATGCCAGTTGTTGTTGTTAGCCAGTCCCCAGACCTCCAGTTTGGTGATGATATTCCCTGAACCTCCTGCCTAGCCTTGTTTAGAGAGCAATACAAGGGTGTGTTTGGTAAATGTTTAACAACCAGATTCCTGAGGGGGGGAGGGTGTGGAATATGCACACAATGTTTGGGGCTTAATCTTCATCATTAACACTTTCTCAAGTCTAGACATCTCCCAAGCCAGCTAAAACTGACTCCAGCATACCTCTGGTCTAGAAGAAAGACTAGAACCTGGATCTTGCTGACTCCAAGCCTGTTGTTCTACTGTCTGCTATGGGGCTAGACCAGGGTTGGGGAACCTGTGGCCTCGAGGCCATACGTGGTCATCTAGGTGCTCAAGTGCAGCCCTTTCACTCAATCTGAACTTCACAGAACAAATCCCCTTAATAAAAGGATCTGTTCTGTAAAACTTGAACTCAAAGGGCGCCGCCCAAGGACCTAGCAGGCCATATGTGGCCTTGAGGCCCCAGATTCCCCAGCCCTGGGCCCCTAGACTCTTCATCTTTCTTAAGCCAGAATACTGAATTGCTGTCCAAAGAACAAGAGCCCACCAAGACTGCATGGCCACTAAAAGTCGTGGATCAGATTTTGCTCCACAAAGATGACGTATCATTGCTAATTAGTTCATCGTCAAGGCTTTAAAGCATCTCATTAATGTTTAAGAAGCTGTAAGGATTGGGACCCATTTCTCCATCCAAAAACCTGTGCGTGCTCTGTCGCTAGCCTGACTTTCCCAGGAAGATTGGTCTGTGCCTAGGAAGGCGTGCAGGGCAAAGAAACAGAGAAACAGCAGTTTTTAATTTTCCAAAAAAAAAAAAAAAATCACATTTGCCATGGCACCGAAGTTTAAACCTAGTATCACCAAATAGCTTTACTCCAGCTAATGCCCTTTCATGGGGGTAATAGCACGTCACGGCTGGCCCAGCTTTTTACTGGCATTTCAATCATTTCCCACAACAACCCTGCAATAACAGGAAAAGAAAAGCGGAAACACCAATATCCTACCACTAATCTATTAAAGTCAGGCCATGTGAGACACCAAGGATGAATGGACCGCATACACAAGCTGAGCTCTAGAGCTGGAAGGGACCTTCATTTTACAGATGAGATCACAGAGAGGTTACATCACAAAATAACCTGAGTCCTGAAGCAGCTCCCCTGCCTGGTAATATCACTCTGTCTCTACCACAGACTGTATGACCTTGGGCAAGTGCTGGGCCCACTGTGATCCTCAGTTTCCTCCTCTCTGAGATATCTTCCAAATCAAAGATTATATCATTCATAGACCCACTAGGTGACTCAGTGGATAGATCACCAGGCATGGAGTCAGGAGGAACTGAGCTCAAATCCTGCCTCAGACACTATCTGTGAGACCCTGGGCAAGTCACTTAGCCTTAGTCTGCCTCTGTTTCCACAAGGATTAAATGAGATAAAATTGGTAAAGCACTTAGCACAGTGCTTGACACATAGTAGGTGCTATGTAAGTATTTAATTATATAATTCAGTGGTCCAATCCAGCTTTAATTTTCATCCTTTATGCTTTTTCCTTCCCTTCCCCTCTGCTCACATCCCAAATCAAAGAGTCATAGCCTCCAGCAGTCATGTTCTTATTTAGAATGTCTCTAGTGTATTTGACTCCAAAATGGAACAATAGAATACTGACATTTTGTACCATTTTGTACTTTTCAAAGCATTTTTGCATCCAGTATCTCATTAGTACAACCAACTCACAAAGAACATAGACAACGAAAAAGAGAGGTGTGGCAAATACTGGAATCATAAAGCCCAGCTGGGAGGCACGGGGCGGGGCGGGGGTGAGGAGCAGCTCTGACACCCATGGACAGTGGGCACTGACTGAAAAAGAAGGAAACTACCTGGACTTCCCCAGTCTTGATAACAAGGAAAACTCTGTTTCCTCCAAGGTCAAGCTTTTAACCAGTATCTGTAGTATGCCGTGAGAGAAATCATTTGGTCATCTTCCAATTATGCTAATGGTGTCTGGATGGGCCTCACCTCCTTTGTAAATGTAAATATCAAAGCTGAGTTGTAAATGTGGGTCTTGTTTGGAATGTGCTCAGCCTCCTTGGATCAAATGTCTTGGGGGCTAAATCACTGCAATTACTAGTTTTAAGCATAAAAGCTTACTTCTAGCTCTAGCTTATCAAGGTGGAACTCAGCCTTGCTGGGCACTCTGGAAACACAAGAAGTCTGTGTTGAGGTTTAGAGGTTTAGGAGTGCTGGGACCCCAAAATCACGATACACTAGTCCTGCCCAAATGAATTTGACCCATGCTTTCTTTCAGCCAAAGACAAAGTTTATTAAAGATCTGCCATATTGGCCAGACTCTTATGGAATGTGAACATTTGTGAGCTATTGGCTAGATTATAAAAATCTGAGTCTGATCTGAGCCCCTTAATGGAGACAAGGTGGACCTTATATATAGAAAGACCGTGGGAGGGATCCACGGAGGATCTTGATGGAAATGGCCAGTAGGCTGGGGTAAATAAAATGCCAGGCACCTGGACCACATGGCTAAGGGAGAATGGAGTCTAGATAGGATTACGAGTGAGAAGTGTGTGTGGGGGGGGTGGCATAAGGAGGTAGGGATAGGCTAGGTTAAGGGTAATAGAGAATTGGGAGATTGGGCATAGGCTATAATGAAAGGCCAGTTGATAGGATTATAGCCTCAGGTGAATGCCAGAGACTTCCTTGATAATCCTGTAGACAAATGGGACCCAAATTCTTTTTGGGGTAAAGGGCAAAGGTCTTGGCTTAGGCCCATACCCAGTCACCTGGAACTACTGGTTCAAAGGATAAATGGGAATTCCTCGAGTAAGTAGGGAAAGTGCCTCCTGGGTCATCCAGTGGCCCTGGCTCATCTTCTTTTGCTAACAATCCATTGGAATTTCTGGGCAGATGGTAGAATTGAGCCCCTAGCCAACTCTCCCCATCAACTGGGAAAGCCTAGCCTTTCTTCTCCAGTACTGGGCCTCCTGTCCCCACCTCGTGCCACATTTCAAATGTTCCATTCTCATTCAATCATATGAACCCCCAAAGGGGGACCGCAGGTGTAGTCCCATTCCATCTGTGACCAAGACATGCCTGAGGATTCCTTCAAAGGGTCTCCTGGCATATTTCGTCCATGCTAACCTTTGTCATTTTCCTCTGGATCCTCTCAAAAGGCTATGGGACCTTGACTGGGTCCAGGTACAGAAGCCTCAGGACGTTGGCATGTATCAATATTTCTACAGAAAACAATGGCTGCGCTAAATCCTTGCCATTCTCCCCCACACCACCCAAGGGAGCAACATTAACCTTGATTTGTCCTAAGCTGCAAGCCTGAAATTGGAAACGCTGCCGATATCCA